TCATCACCATAATCCAGGTTTAATAATTTTTTAGAAGACCTCACAGAATTGAGTTTACAGTCATATTTATGGCATGATTTATTACAGTTAAAGGTTATGCAGCAAACTCAACAAAGGGAAATATTCCCAGAGGAAAGTATGAAAGAAAGTAAATGCAAGGTACTACCTTCTCCCTAGCTACCCATAAACAAAGTAGCCACACTTGGATTCAAAGGAAAGCATATGTATCAGGCCCAAAAAATTGTACTCTGAATAAACCCAAAATGTGGTTAGGGCATCTTAGTGGGGCAAAGGAGAAGTGGCTGTTCCTGGTGTAAGCATTGTCTTGAATATACATCTGAAGATGGCCATCCACCCTCAATAGGGACAATAAGATAGATGGCCATTAGCTTCTAATTGTACATCCTTTCACATCTATCCTTTACTTCTCTATGCAGGTTATTTGGTATATATACAGGGCTGTCCTATTAGTATTTAGCCATGAGAAAGAAGAACTTGGCATTCTTCTCTAACGATGTGAACTGGGACACACTTGGATGCAACCTAACATTACTCTGAGACAGGAACCTAACTTTGGAGAACATTGACTGAAGAAAACATATGCTGCTTTATTCAATCCTGTTTTATTTTTCTGTGAGTAATAAGTGCCTTTTGACCACAGCATTAGTATAGGATTTGTTCTGTGCTCTGCTCCAAATGGTCTTCACTAAAAACTTGTGAATATGGAACATGATGATTCCCTAGTGGGGATACACAGAATACACTTAATTTCCTGAGAAAAGATGGGTTACCACACATTTGGGGTATTGTCTACCATGGAAGCTCATTCCAGACTGGGTATCCAGTGCATTCTATTGAGGGCTGGTTGGCCACATAGGCACCCTCGGCCTACCACAATCTATAATTCCAGATTCCCAGAAAGAAAACAGGTGCTCCACATAAACCAGGCTGCTTATGCAAAAATTTTAGGCTCACTGAGACACTCTTCTCACTTAAAAAAAATATGGCATTAGTGCAATCTTCTGTTCACCACCCAAGTTCTCAGATGCCAGCCAAGAGACAACTTTGGAAGCATAGTATTCTGATATGTTAATAATTTTTTTTCTGCACAGTGGAAAATAGCCAGAGTGTAAATTGGAACTGAAGAAATCATCCAAATCACTTGTGCCTTGAGGAACTAAACCAGACATAATAATGATAACTTGTAAAATATTTCTGAGTGTTTGTTTCTAGAAATTGGAGAGAAGTACTGGGTCTTTCCTGAAGAGACAGTACAAATCTCAGGGAAGTGTCCTACACACAGAAAACTAAAGGTCCCTGTGTTAAACAGCTATTATCCAGTCCCTGGAGAAAGAGACATCATGTTTGCTAACGCCGAGGGACAGCAGAAATGAAGGCTCTCAATGAGGTGGACTGACTAATGGCTGCAACAATAGACTGGAGTATAGGAGCTGTTAAGAGGCTGGCACAGGACTGGGCATTGTCTCTTCTGTTATGCATAAGGTTGCTACATAATAACATGGCATGTTACTGATATATAATAACAAGTAGAAATATGTATCATCATCACATAAAGTAAAATTTGAACTAGCTGCTAACTTGACTCTAGACTTGTTTCATTCTAGACTGTTTCCACATACATTCATCTTTCTGCAGCCAAATATACTTCAAAAGATTCATACACTTTAGAAAAGGAAACAGATTTTCCACCATTCATTACAATTCAGCCTGCATCTATTTCATGCTATTAGATGCTGACGATTTTTGTAAGTTTCAATGTATCATTGTGGAAAGGAAAAATAGAACAGAAAAGACACTTCCTGAATACTTAGGCATGATGCAGAGTTAGTAATCCTTAGGTAACATTATGCAGTTTACTACTGCATTACATGCTAAAACTATGGAAATACATGGATTAATGCATATTTAGACATTAACATTAGGTGACACTTGTCAAAAACAATGGAGTGACTTTATCGGCTATTCTGTTATAAACCTATTTTGCAGAGAAAAATCTTTGTGTATAAGAAAAATATGGAGAAACCAGCAGAAAAAACATAATAGGATATTTTTAAAATATTGAAAGTAATATCTCTTCATGATACATGATAAATATACACCCAAATATGGAAAAGTTAGAAATCATTGATCTCACTCTACAAAGAAAACCTTTGTTTCTTTCTTAATTATATGTTTAGAGTTTTTTTTTACTTATGTATTTTGTAGTCATAGTCCTTTTCTCTATCTCTTATTCTCCCCCTTTATGAACCCATACACACACATATTTTAATATTTGCACTTATATAGAATATATATGTGTATTTACTGTACTCATAAAATATGATTGAAAGTTTATTTCTCTTTTAACTAAAAGACTATTTAAAATATAGATTTGTGGTAGAACCCTAGAGATGCAAGGGGATGAAATGATGAAGCCCAAGGCTAAATCTGTACTCCTTGTAATTTTCTTTTATTTACTTTTATTTATTTTGTTTTTGTTTACTTATATCTCTAATCACTAATTGAAGATTTTGCTGAATTCATTCAATATTACTTTTCTTTCTTAATGGCCTGGAATCCTTTGTTAGATCAATGATTTAATCACATTAGATTGCTAACAACTTAGTATGAAATACTTTTGTTGGATCATTTACAGTTTAAAAGATTTATTTGTGGTCTTGAATTATATGAAGAGTTCATAAGTAGGTTGAAGAATATCTCATGTATTTACCAAGTGTTAAAAATATATGCTATCACTAAAGAACAATTTCAAGAGCACAGTGAGTTTGGTTTGCTAAATAGAAATTGCCATTTCTTAAGCATTTTAAAGGCTTGAAGATTTACTACTCTTTTCCTGTTTCTTATATTCTCCCTCAAAGTTGGTTATTATTAAAAACAACATAAGATTGCAATCAAAGAACAAATATGTCATAAAATATTTGTGGTAACTCTATCTCAATATAAGTTTGATGTTGATTATGCCTTACAGAAATCATCTCGGGAATCCAAAAAGATTTCAACATTTTTATACAACTAAAAGGCAGAGCCATTTTTATGTCATATTTCTTTTTTCTTTTTGATTAAAAATTCACTCTTTGAAGATGACTTATGCATGAGCATATACCGGGCTTTCAGTAAGAAGTCTGAGTCATCATGTCATATTTTGAAATTTTATAATTTTTGTCAGTCATATAAGGGTAAAGCATTATACTCACATCCTGTGGTAGCTACATAATTTCATGTCAGCTTAATAAACACGTGGAGGGGTGGAGTCTAGCCTGTCAATCAGATCACAAACTGATGATGCTTCTATGTGCACGTGGCCTTCTTATGAGGATTCTGGGAACTTCCTCTCTTTCTCCCTGGAGGTGTGCCACACACTCTCTCTCTGCTTCATTTTCCTGTTGAAAATGCACACTCAGAGAGCTGGCGGAGTCATGTGGAGACCCACGCCAGCACTGGATCCTCAAGACTATTCGCCAACTAGCCTGTGATTTTCCTGCATTCGGCATCCTAGCATATGCTGCATGACTCTAAAGAGGAATTTATGAACTAGTATTGGACATATGGGCTAATATCAGACTTATGGAATTGTTCTGGACTAGGCTGTGATGTTTTCTTGATAACCAATCACTCTTTGATATAAAGCTCTTTCTTATACATATATGAGTATCTCTGGATGTGTTTCTCTAGTCAACTCAGACCAACACACATCCCACTGCAAAAGGAATTAACTGCTTTATGGTGGAAAATAAGCCAGCAAAATCTCTATGATGAAGTGTTCCACTGTGGATTTATGACTCCCTGCCTTCTGCCTCTAGTGTTCCCACTTTCATCATATTCACCCTATTTTTTTTTACCTTAAATGACTTCAAAATAACCATTGCAAAAGATGATAATGGTGATAGCTACAATGTGATTAGATTTGTGCAACGTTTCTTAAGAATATTATTTAGTAACAGTGAGCATCTTCACAACATTGAACATCATTAATTTTTTTATATAGATGAAAAAAGGTAGGTTTTGATAAATAATAAATAACTTGCTGAAGTTAGCTACACAATATATTACTATCTCTTTTCATTCACTCAATATTTGAGCTTATATGCACCAGTGTATGTTCTCTTGATCAAGGTCAGATAGTTGTATTAACTCACAGTTGGAACTATTTTTACCTGTGAGCATATGATCCCTTCAATGTGGTTAGTCAGGTAGGCACACTATATGCAAGCATTGTATTTTTTCATAAAATTGAATATGATCACTATTCTTTTTAATTTAGATATTTCTTCCAATACACAATAAGCCATTTGGAATATACATCATAGTTTTACTTTTATCTCCAAGTATACCATGATTCTCTTCACCACCACCCAGAGCTTCTGAAATGCTGTCTCATCTCTTCTTGTTTCCTTATGTAAAGAATCTCTGCCAGGTTTTTAAATGAAATTTACCAGTATAAAATCATCCTCCTTTTTTATTTATTTATGTACAATCCTCTCCACTTATCAGACTCTAAACTTTTTATCTGTATTGTTTAGTTCATTGTTCCTGGCACCAAAAACAGTGTTTCATATATGCACTGTGCTACTGAATTGATTCTATGCATATAATAATGCTTTATGGTAGCAAACAATCTTGTATACAAATAGTCTTGTATACAAGGACTGGTTGATTTGAATTCCCTACCCTATGGCTAACAGCCAAACACTTAACCCACAGAGCCATAGTTATGCTTAAAAGTAATATAAAATTTTAATCTATATACCATATATTTGGAGAGACACAGATGCTATAAAAGATCCTATCATCAAGTGGACTATCTAAATGTGAATAACTGCTACTGACCTATTTGCAATCTGTAATGCATGAGGCCAATGTACTTCCAAAGTTTGTGTTTCTAAATCTTCTAAAGCAAATGAGTTTTTAAGATTTTATGAGCTCCTTTAATAACACTGTATACTTTGAAGGAACACATCTTATGTGTACTTGCTGGGCTCTGGGCCAGGAGGCAGAGAGCTTCGTGGTCCGGGTGGTTACTTTCAATGCCTCAATCTTCCAACAAGTAGTTAGGGTTGACTACCAAGTAAGGATCTTCTTCATAGCTCTCACATCCATCGCTGGAGCCTTTCAATCCGGCCTGGGTGAGCTCAATCAGAACATGATCGTAGTGCATGAGCCGATGAATGACTTTCTCTATGATTCTCTTCTTATTTATAAGTTCTTCTTCAGAACCTATTTCTGATTCAATTTCCTTCAAGTACCAGTTAACAAGCTCACTCCTCTTTAATGCTGACTCATCCTCTTCTTCTTCCATCTTCCTGAGGTGAAGCACAATAAGGTTAGAGATTCGGCAGTACTCGGAGAAATTCAGCCTTAGGGCGGCTTTGGGGACACTCTCCTGGTTTATGTCCTCCACATGACCGCTGAGTCCATTCACAGGAGTGGGGATCTCAGCCTGGCCTGGGCCCTCATCTGCTTCCATGTGTGTCTCCTCTTCTTGGTCTAGATTGACATCAGGCGTTTCCACACGGATGATTGATTTATTCAGTAACCGGAATGCTTCCTTCACGTGTTTGGGTTGGACCTCATCGCAGCAGTGCTTCCGGGCCATGGCTTCCGAGAGTCGGATCATGCTCTCAAGCTGGCGCACTGTAATCCTCCACGCGGATTTGGTCACTCCAGAACCATCCCTCTGGTGGAGACGTTTATACTGCTCCACAATGAAGTCCTCTGACTCCTTAGAAATCTTGGGTTTAAACTGTCTTGCAAAGAGAAGATACCTCCTGATATCATCAAGGGAATAGACACGATCTACAGAATCTTCAATTCTTGAATGCAAGTCGACTATTCGTCTGGCAATAGCATAATCTGTAACCTCATTACATTCATCCACAAGTATAAAGAAGAGATCAAATCGGGACATGATGGGGGCCGACAAATTGATGTTCTGTTTCAACGATTTTGCCCTGTCATAGTGGCCACCGACTGGATTTGCTGCTGCCAAAATGGATGTCCTGGCATTCAGTGTCACCTTCACTCCTGCTTTAGTGATAGAGATGGTCTGTTGTTCCATAGCTTCGTGAATAGCAACTTGATCCCGTATATCCATCTTATCAAATTCATCAATACAACACACTCCGTTGTCAGCCAACATCAATGCTCCAGCCTCAATGACAAACTCGTGAGATTCTTCATCTCTTACAACAGCTGCTGTTAAGCCAGCGGCACTGGAAGCTTTCCCGCTGGTGTAGACAGCTCTTGGGCAGAACTCCTCCACGTGCTTGAGAAATTGGCTCTTAGCTGTACTTGGGTCACCAACGATGCAAACATTTATGTCCCCTCGAAGAGAGGTCCCTTCCCCTGTTGTCTTTGGAACACCACCAAAAAGCATCAGCAGCACACCCCGTTTTACTTCATCATTGCCATGTATCGTGGGGAATAGACTGGTACACAGATTGTGATACAGATTTTTATCTTGACTCATTTCGAACACTTTCGCCCACTCCTTCACAGTCATTTGGTTCTTAATGCTCTCAGCCGTCTGCTCCTCATCTCGGAGCTCTTTCCCTCCAAACCGTGGGTTGGTTGCGGCAACACTGCAGGCCAGAAAGACGAGCCTGTAGGAAAGGTCTCTGACACCGAGGGCCCGGAGTCCTCGAATGCCTTCTGTCTCGTAGCCGTCAACACCACCAACGCGGGAATCGGTTTCTGCGCGTGCTCCTGGCGTGCTAAGTTTGGAGACATCAGGCACAACGATCAGCGTCCCTGTGAAGTCACACTTGTCACCAGCTTGAGCTGACTCCACGGCTTCAGCCCTCAGGATCACTTCCAAACTGCGCGGGATACTCCCTCGAGGAAGCTCAGCTTGGGTTTCTTGAATACGAACCTTTTGAAAATCAACAAATCTTGATTTGTTTGTATCTAGCAAGAATCTCCTCCTATTGGCACAAACTGGATTTCGGCAGATGTTTGGTGGTGTATACTTAAATTGCTGCTCTACATCCTTAATCACCGTCTGGCAGTCCAAGCACAGGAAAGTCCCACTGACGAGTTCTGGGTGAACTGGGTGAGTTCGGACAACCTGCCCACTGATTCGTGTGAGCAAACCAATTCTGGATGAAGTGAGTTCTCGAATTTTATGTGTGGTAGGCAGGTCTTGGAATGAAACATACAAGTCCTTGGCAAGAGGGATTTCTTTCCGGTCTTTGACAAGTACACTTCTACTTATGTGTACATCAATTCACTAAGTATTCTGATAATTACAAGGAGAGGTAGATTGGGGCTTTGCTCTCAAGTACCATTGCTCTATTTTTGAGAGTCAGTGAACAAAGATAACCAGGATATCATTGAGGCTTTGAATTCCACACAATTAACAAGTATGTATGGTCCTGTTAAGTAATGATAAAACTGCTTAGTTGAAAGGTCAGTGATTCAAACCCATCAGGCTCACCATGGGAGAGAGATTAGACTTTAAACTTGTGTTAGAATTTATAATCTGTATAGGATTGCTATGATATGGAATTGACTTGACAAAAGTGAGTTATGTTTGGTGTTTGCAACCAGTCTTTCAGGAATGAAACTTAATTTTTACAAGACATGTAAAGCCATTTTGCCAAGGAAATACTAGAGGCATTGCAACAGTTAGCTTTATTGTGCCAACTAGGCCAAAAGGAACATGTGGGCGGAGTTCAATCAGGTCACCGCTTGGTTGGAGGATGATGAGATACATGATTTCCAAGGCCAGCCCCCGTCTCTGTTTCTCCCTGGTGAATGGGCCAGGGTGCTGCTGCTGTTTGACCTAGTTCTTTTTCCTCAATCGTCTGCTGCACTACCTATGGGCCAAACCAACAACTATGGGTAAGTTGTGGATTGTGTTGCTAGAGCTTGAGGCTCCTTTGAGACTTGCTTCACTGCACTGCTGGGTATCTCGCTTGAGCTCAAGGCTGGTGGATCCTGTTGCTGTGTATAACTTGAGTTCAAGATCCCATTGGGGCCTGCTTGGCTAAGCTTCTGAGCTACTGACTGTTACTGACCCACCCTGCTGTCTGCCGCCTGTGGGAAGACACTGTCTGCCTTACATGAGGGAAGACTCCACTGTCTGCTTCCTTGATCTTGGACAGGAAGCCCACATGAGTTGGTGGACTTTCAATATATTAGTTGTTATATTCCTTCTGCCTGTATAAACCTCTATCTATCTATCTATCTATCTATCTATCTATCTATCTATCTATCTATCTATCTATCTATCATCATAAGTATTCTGGTTTTGTTTCTCTAGAGAATCCTGCCTAACACAGGCATAATAGATATTTTGCTTAAAATCATTCAGTAAATAGCTAAAAGTTCAATACCAAGAATTTCTGACCTGCTAACCCAAGCTTTTTCCAAACCATCTGCTGCAAGGAGCATCTCTAACTGAGAGATCATCACGTTTATACGTGTGGTAATATCTAAAGGCCAGAATTGTAGTAAGTGATTTTCAATGATCATGTTCTTAAACATAGGCCATTCTGAGGCTTCTGACTTCCTTATAAGAATCATCTCAGTTTACTATGCTGCCATGTACAAATATTTTGTGTACAGATTAGTTTGTATATGACTTACAATATTTTGTAAACATTAATTTAATTTTTCTTTTATTGCATAATGTCTAACAAAAAAACTTACCGCAATGCAGTAACTTTTAAGTTATTCCAACATAATCCTAACCTTTATTTATGGATGTTTTAAGAGAGTAAAACCTAGTGCTTACTTTGAGTTTTATAAAAGGCTGAAATTTAAAATAAGGATGAAAACAAATAGGAAAATAATTATATTCTAAAACTTCCTAGATATAGTTCAGAAATTACTTTAGATATTATTTTTAATTTACTATATTTGCATTATACATTGACTAATTTGTAAGTATAATCATATAAAGAGTTTCATAAATACATTTACAAAGATTGAAAATATATAATCATTAAATCAATCCGTATAGATAATACATTCCATGGTTTATCATGAGAGGATGATAAGCCTGTAAATTTGATAAAAATAGACATGTTTTCGTTAGTTGCCATAGAGTTGGTTCCAATCCATAGAAACTGGATGTTCCTATGAATTAAGCATTGCCCAGTCGCGAGTCATTCTCTCATTGGTACTAATCCTGAGCCCGTATTTTTGCAGTCCCCCTATCTTAGCAAGCATGGTGTATTCTCTAGGAATTGGTCTCTCCTTCCAACATTTCTAAAGTATGTAAGACAAAGTTTCACCATCTTTGACTCTAAGGAGCACACACACATAATTCCAAGATCAAGTTGTTTGTTGGTATTCTATAGTACTTTCAATATTCTTCACAAGAACCACAATTCAAATGCATCAATTCTTCTTCAGTCTTCCTGGTTCAATATCCAATTATCACATACATCTCAGGCAATTGAAAAATACAGTAGTTTGGGTCAGGCACACCTTAGTCCTCAAACTAACACCCTTGTTTTTCAACATTCTAAAGAGAGCTTGTGCATTAGTTATATTCTTTGCAATGGGTCTGATCTCTTGACTGCTGCATTTGTGACAATTGATTAGGGATATGAGCAAAACAAAATCCTTAACAACTTCAAAATTTTATTGATTTTTCATCATGTTACCTATTGATCCAGTTGTGAGGATTTGGGTCTTCTGTACAATGAGTTGTAATCACTAATCATTGGAGGCTGCAATCCTTGGTCTTCAGAAAATGCTTCACGTCTTCCTCACATCCATTAAAAAAGATTGTGCACCTGCATGTTGCAGGTTGTTAATGAGTGTTCCTCAAAATCAGATGCTGCATTCTTCTCCATATCACCCATCTTCTCTGGTGATTTATGCAGCACACAAACTGAGTAAGTGTGGTGAGAGGACACAGCATTAATGCACATCTTTCCTGATTTTAAACCATAAAATGTTTCCTTGTTATGTTTGCACAAAATCCTTTGGATCCATATACAAGTTCTGCATTAGTGCAGTGAAGTGATAGAATTCTCATTCTTCTCAAGGTTAGCCGTAGTTTGGTGTGATTCACGAGGTCAAATCCCTTGGCATAATCAATAAAATACAAGTCAACACCTTTCTGTTAGTCTCTGTGTTCAGCCAAGCTCCTTATGATAGCAGAGATGATATAATTATATCCATTCTTCCATTTACCCTTCTGAATCCAATTTGAAGTAGCTCCCTGTCAGCATACTACTGCAATCATTATTTGATGATCTTTAACAAAATATTACTTGTATGTGATATCAATGAGACTGCTCTATAATGCGAACATTCTATTGGGTCACCTTTGTTTGGAATGGCTATAAACATAGACCTCTTGGAGTCAGTTGGCCAAATAGCTGACTTACTAAAAAAAATTTGGGGGGGCATAGAAAAGTGTTTTGTGTGTTTCATTAGAATGTTGAAACATTTCGATTCATTATTCTATCAATTCCTGGAGCCTTCTTTGGGCTTTTGCTTTCAGTGCAGCTTGAACTTCTTCCATCAGTGCTATTGGTTTTTTTCTCATATGTTAACTCCTGAAATGACAGACTAATTGTTTCTGTCACTTGACTCTATGTACTATTTCCATTTCCTTTGGATGCTTCCTGAATCATCCAATATTTTGCCTATAGAGTTTTTCAAAATTTCAACTGGAGGCTCAATTTTTTTTCTTGACTTCTTTTAGTTTCAGATATGCTGAGCATGTTCTTCCCTTCTGGATTCCTAATTCTATGTCCTTACACATTTCATTATAATATTTGACTTTGTCTTCTCAGGCTGCCCTTCAAAATTTTCTATTCAGCTCTTTGACTTCATTACTTCTTTCATTTGCCTTAGCTACTCTGTGATTAAAAGCAAGTTTAAACCTCTTCTGACCTCCACTCTGACATTTTCTTTATTTTCTGTCTTTTTAATGAAAGATGTTCTTGATGTCATCCCAAAACTCATCAATTTTCTGTCATTTGTGTTAAATTTAAGAAATTTTTCTTGAGATGTTCTCAAAGTTCAAGTAGGTTACACTTGTCATTTGGATATCCTGACACGTTTCATTTTTCTGCAAACTGAATGACCAATTGATTACCTGTTCCACAGTCAGCCCTCTGCCTGATTTTAGCTGCTGGTATAAAGGTACTCCAGCATCTCTTTGCATGGATATAGTCAATTTGATTTTTGTGTTTTCAATCTGCACAAATCCATGTGTATAGTTATAATTTGTGTTGTTTTGTGCAAATGGTATTCAGTATGAGAAATACCTTTTTCTGCAACTATTCCATCCACTTTGTTTCCACCATTTGTATTCCTATCACCGTTAATTATTAATGCATCTTGATTGCATCTTTGATCAATTGACTGAAGACATTGGTAGAATTCTTCATTCTCTTATTGCTAGCTTTTGTGGTTGTGGCATGAATTTGAAAATAATTGAATTGATTGGATTTCTTTGAAGGTAAATAGATAAAATACTAACACAGAAAACATTATACTTCTGGATGGACCTTGAAATGTCCTTTTGAAAGACATAAATGCAATGTCTTTACTCTTGATTATGTCATTCCCAACAAAGGAAATCATATGATTTTGTTTCGAAATGGCTAATACCAATCCATTTCTGCTCACTAATGCCTAGGATATCAAACTTTATGCATTGTATTTCATTTTTAATGACTTCAAATTTTCCTTTATTCATATTTTGCACATTCCAAGTGCAGATAATTTGCAGATTTTTGCAGCTGTTTCATCTTACCTTGTTCCCAATCAACAAATGATTATCCCGAAGGCTCCCCTCCCACAGGCTTTACTTCATTCAAGTCGCCATGGTCAACTCTACTTTGAGAAAGCAGCTCTCCTTATGTCACATTTTGAGTTCTTTCTGATCCAAGGGACCTATACTTATGCACTGTCATCCACAATATTCTTCTTCCATTTATTAGACATTTGGTGTCTGACAAAGTTTACATGTTATGCAAAGGTTTTTCATCTGCTACTTCCTTGAAAGAGGGTAGTAGATTCCTTCTTCATAGTCTGTCTCTTAGTTTATAAGTTCTGCTGAATTCTGTTCACAAATATCCTGCATGCATTTGAAATACCAAAAACATAGCTTCTAGCATCATAGAAACAAACAAGGCACCACGGTATGACAAACTGACAGACAAGAGGTATAGGCTGTTTTAAAAATAGGGAGATTTTCTACAAAAGCAGTTAACTTAATAGTTTACTGGTTTTTGTTTTCTTTCTATTCTTTGAGGTAATTTTTTTCTTATGGAGACCAGGCAGCTGCAGAAATATCTCTAGTCATTTTTCCCACTCATCTCTATGTAGTTTTAACTTTGTAAAGTCATTTGAATCACATCATCTTTTCTTTTGATTTATTCATGATATTTAGTCTGCCACCTTTGAATTGTGTCATCCTTCTGTGACAAAAATAGGTTATCTGGAATTGTTTATAACGGTTTCCTCTAGAATCTTGCATGAAATTTTAAATTGACTTCAGCAAATAAGGATTATAATGAAAAGAAGGTTCTATGTACCCTTAGTTTCAGAGATAAAAGAGTATGTAAAGACAAAACATGAAGAGACATTCCAACTAAAGATCTAGTAACCTCAATCTTGAATTATTGAAAAGCAGAACTGTTTCCACCAGATTAGTTCATTCTAAGCAATAGCTTAATATTTGTCAGTGTGTTAGGCTGAGTTGACTGGAAAAGCAAATCCAGTGACATATATATATATATATGAAGCTTAATATCAAGAAGTAACTCGCTATCAAAAAAGTATTCTAGCACAGTCCAACTCAAATCCTTAAGTCCAGTATTAGTCCATAAGTTCCTCTTCAGACTCACGCAGCCACATACAATGGCGCAGATTGCAGGATGATTACAGGCCAGTGGGTGCAGAGTAGTGTGGATCCAAGATAGGTGGATCTATGTGAGGGACCCAGCAAAGCTCATGGTCAGTAGTAATAAGAAAGCAGTCCTAGACTCATTATAAGAAGGCCATGCCCACAAGAGGCATCCTCAGACTGTGATCTTATTCACAGGTTGGATACTCACCTTATATTTTTATATCCCATATATACTCAAGTATAAGCTGACCCAAATATCAGCCTAATTTTACCACAAAAACAGCATTAAAAATGTGCTGAAACCTTTTTGGCCCCGGGCTCTAAGAGTGACAACATTGGAGACTCAGTGTCGGGACTGGCCCAGACTGACCCTGAGACACCGAGGTAAACCACGTGCGGCAGAGCAACCGTGGGAGCAGAGCAGAGAGCTCCTGAGGGAGTTCAAAGGACATACTCTGGGGCCAGAGCATGGTACCCCATTGGTCCTGACTGAAGGACACGCCTAGAGATCAAAAATCAGACCTTGATCTATTTACAGGTTTTTCTTTCTGTTTAAAATCTTTTTCTTTTAATTGATTTATTATTCTATGGGTAATTGGTTTCCTTTTTTGGTTGCCATCACTGTGTTCTCACTGATCGCCTATCTTGCTAT